TCGTATGGCATGAATGTCTGGGAGCTTCATAAGTTCCTGAAAATTTTCTCAGCACGAGGAGCCCGGAGCAGGCCATGTGGATTGAAACGTCAAACATCATGCGGAACAACCAGAAAACACGTCGGCAAAGCTATATAGCGCAAGTGCGAAAACGTACCAAGAGTAGTGTTCTTCGTCCTTCTTTTAATATTCGACAAAAATGGGCACGAGCACAGACTTAATCCCTTTCATTCGAACACAACCCCTGCAACTCTACACTTGCTCATGTTCCTATAAATACAGTATAGTGTGTGCCAATACGGAGCTGGCACGAGTATCGGAATGAATTCACAAATTCACTCAAGTCCGTGAGGAGCTTCATTTTTAAATCCCCTATCAGTGCACATTCCCCAGCTCAGGAATGTGATCTTGCCTCGTCGACCACTGGGGATTGTATGTATAGGTGTCATCCGCTCAGTGACACATGCTTAATAATCGTCTATTGTTACCAATGAGAGGTTTTAAAAATATATATCCCACTTTTATCTTTTACCTGGTGTCATAAAGTAAATGTTCCCCCCTGAATATTCGTTTTTACGAGGAACCAATTTTTTTAAAAATAATTGTTTTCCCTTACACATATCTGTACCCACTTATTTTTCCACGAAAAAATATCTTTGTACATGACGTTACAACCATTCATTTGTAAAACAGTGCCTGTATTTTAAAACCGCTTTCCATACGTATTTGTGAACAAGTTGCTCAGTATAGCTTTGCGTTTTCATACCATCTGTTTGGTCCTAACTTTGTCCAACCAATGTCGTGGCTAATCCCTGACCTTTAACCTTAGGGTACAAATACATAGGGTAAACAACTGCCAGTGAGTGTGGACAAATGCTCATTCCCCTGGAGAAACATTATTCTGGGCAACCAAAACTCTTTTACAGCAACCAAAATCATCACTTGCCCACAATCCTGGAGGTTATTTGTTATTTAACCAATTATTTGGTACAAGGCCGTAGCCATGGAGTCAACATTGGGGGAGGACCAAATCTTACAGAGGGTCTGGGGGTCCCCCCCCCCAGAAAAATGGCAGAGATTAGGGATTAATAAAGTACAACCATAACCACAATCATATAAACAGAAATCTATTTTATAGCAATATATTGGGGGGGGGGACATTTTGAGCATATTTGAATATTGGGGGGGATGTGTTCCCCCCAATATATTATAATCACTGCCTTGATTTGGTAACGCTGTGATGGCAGTGGTGCACAAGAACACGTAAACACATTCCTACGGAGGGAGCTGGTAGGAACGTTGGGTTGCTCGGTCAATGGCCAGGGTCAACGGTGGCGTGGTTAGGTTAAACGTTGAGTTTCATAAGGGCACCACGGGGTGACTAGCCCCTGCCCACCCAACCCCACCCCTCCCACCCCCCACCTAGCCCCTCCCCACCCTCCCCTCTCCACCCAGCCCCACCCCTCCCATTTTTGGATGCACGACGGACGGACACAATAGTTTTCTGTGAGCTGGTGTAACCAGGAGGTTTCTACCAGTAAAAACTGAACACATTCCTCAATAACGCTGCCATAAAACAAAACATATTATATGCAATCTTTTGGGAAAATTCGTGCTATGAAAATGGTCCATTTGCATGAAACGTCTCCTATTCTTTGGTTCTATTGGGTAAAGTCACGTAGGTGAAAATAAAATAACAAAAAATCACGACGTTTCGGCCACAACACAAGCGGCCTTCATCAGGTGAAGGGACGAGACTGTCTGGAGGACAGCGCTGCCCTCCAGACAGTCTCGTCCCTTCACCGGATGAAGGCCGCTTGTGTTGTGGCCGAAACGTCGTGATTTTTTGTTATTTTATTTTCACCTACGTGACTTTACCCAATAGAGCCAAAGAGTATGGATCCTAGCAGTCACGAAAGCTTTAAATCTAGAACGTCTCCTATTATATATTTAAGCGAGTTTTATTGACAAATGTATTGCGTTTTTAGATACATAGTAAATAGTGCAATTTCATGTTTTCATACTGCCGCTTTCAAATAGGAAATTTGAAATAGGTAGTGTCCTATTAAAAGCAATTACGATTACATGTTTCATTAAACTGTGCCCTCTGCAAAAATGGTCTACTAATGAGTTTCAGCTAAATGTCAAGACAGCAAGCCAGCAAAACTGTACCCCTGCTAATCTTCCCTTTTCTCAACGGCCCCGTCATATACCAGCAAAACATTATACGTGCATACTTGCCATGGGAAATGTCACCCATACCCTTTACCAAAGCTGTAAACTTAGCCATGATAATAAATTATACTATAACTGTTTTGCTGATTTAATACAATGTAGAGCACTAACCTATACATGTAATTTAAGAGATGGGAGGTTTTCATTCAAAAGATGGGTTAAACTGGAATGTTTTTATTCCCAGTGTAGTTTAAATACATAAATCGAATGCAGCCTGTCTTGTTGTATTACTGACTTAACACCAATATAGAGATTTGGTAAATGCATTAAAGGAATGAATTGTGGTGGCAATTTTTTATAATATGAATTTAAATTGTAAAAAAACAGGTTCACTCTCTCAAGCATTATTTGAAACAAAACCAAAAAAAATGTTTGTTTGATGTGATCCTAGGGGTCAAAAGAACCCTCCAAATGTGTAAACAAATATATATATATGCATTTTATGGGAGTCATATATATCCTAGGAGTCCGCCATAGTGGAAATGATGCATGGGAAAGTTTTAAAAAATGTGTTTATGTTGCCATTCAGAGAAAAAAATCTCATTAATTTGACCTTTTACAAAATATAAAATATTTAATTTTACAGAGAGCCGTAAATATCCTCGGTAGGTGAAGTTGGGTGGTCGTTAATATCAGTTAATATTTAACAGCAAACAAGCACATTAAAACATAACACAAGCAGAACTTCTTCAAAGTAATTATATGTTTTTGTCTATCAGCCTGTCGGTTTTTCAGACGAATATTATCAAGCAGCCATTGTTTTTGCAAGCAAGCGCTGAATCGGTTTTGACATTACGGCTCTCATAAGTAGAGTTAGGCTTGTTAAACAAATGCTACTGGATTTCCAACTAGTGTTCGCAAAATCGCTCTCTTGTGTATGCTTTCAAATATATGTATATATTCAGTCGCAAGCTGATAAACGTGACAACCACTGCTGCGTACATAACATAATAACCATTCAATGTCTCCATCACGTATCCGTCTCTCCAAATAACACGTATTTCGTACAAAACCCATCATACATATGACCTTCGGTGGGAACATTCATTGCAGCAGTATTGAATCACGACAAGAAAACTCTGGACCGCTTTTGACACACGATTCGATGTCTCGCAGTTAAGTCTCAAAGCGCCATCTAGCGGTGCGTCCTGCTGCCACCAGTGAGTGACCTCGAGATTTTTGTATTTTACCAGGTCAGGCTCACACTGAGCTATCCTGTATAGCTTTTTTTTTGCCAGAAGCGACCTGTCGATCACAAATGACAGCTCAACGAAGTGACTAATGTGGAAATTTACAGCAGCCAAATATTCTAAACGCGTGTTTTTTATTATTATGTGGAGGGAATAACCAGAGAACCCGGATAAAAATCCACGCGGCCACGGGGAGTGAGACACGCAAACTCCAAATGTACAGGGGTCAGGGTCGGGATCGAAACCATGAACCTCCTTGTATACCAGGCGAGGTAGTTAACATCTCTCCCTGTGACCTCTTGCACCGTTGCTTGCTCTTGATGCGAAAATAATCCTTCAGTATTTCCTGAAGTGCATTGCGATAGCTTTTGTCTTAGTACATCATCAAAATACATACCGTTATAGACCGACTGGCAAGCATTGAGATAGACGAATAAGGTTCGTCCTTATTAAGACTCGTTAACACAATACAGTGGTCACCAATGCTTAATGCTACAAAGTCTGCCACAGGCAAACACATACGTTAGGGACCGTCCATTAATGACGTCACGCACCTAGTGGGGGGGGGAGGGGGTTGAGAAATATGACGTCACATCAAAATACGCAACTTTAAATAAGTATAGACAACACGTTCTACTTAATTAAATAGACTTTTAAATGAATGTTTTCTCCTACAACATCAGAGTGCAGCGCCACATTAAATAAATACGCACTACAATGGCAATAGTTTAAAGAGATTTGAAGCATGTTTTATATTTTTTTTTGGGGGGGGGGCAGAGCTTTGTGACGTCATATTTGAGGGGCGGGGTGTTTGACTTTTTGTGACGCCGTGTGACGAAGGGGCGGGGGGACGGGTCAAAAATCGTCCAAAATCGCGTGACGTCATTTATGGACGGCCCCTTATATGGGATCTGCACTTCAACACTATAGGGCCCGTTAACTTGGCTAATGCCAAATTTGGTATTAGCCAAGCTTATTGATTGTAATTAGCCAATTTAATTTTCCCCTTCGTAGAGAAGTGGGACTCTACAATGCATGGTTCTGACTCCCAGAGGCAAACTTTGTAACAATGAGCATTTGAGTCCGAATGAGACCAGCCCACAGTTGTTATCTATAACTGCTGCTAGTAGCAGTCCGGATATCCCCGGGTATGTACTTAATGTATTTTGTTTTTTTTAAGCGAAGCATGTTTAAATTATTTCATATATTTTTTCGTTTACGTATTTCTCAAGTACATTGCAAATGGCATCACACCTAGCTTCTCTCACACTTTAACCGACTGGCGAAGCCAACTAATGACGTCACAACGCCTCGCTCAATGTGGGACAGTTGAGTGATGTCATCGCAACAAACATCAATGACCGTCTCCCCCGCACGGCGACAGCCACCGGTTAACACGCCCGTGACGTCACTCCCCACACAACGAATACAAAGGACGACGATGGCGTTAGGGGGGCCGCGGTCTCCGCTTCATCCTATTGGCCAATAACGGCCCCATGATGTCACGCCCTCGAACGACAAGGGTGAGGGTGGGGGGGGCGTGGTCGCCACCTATTACTATTGGCCGCCTCGGCGTGACGTCACCGACACACCCACCAGCACCATCACCACCCGCCTGCTTCGGCTTCAGCTGACTCATCAGCTGTCAAGCCAGACGCGGGCAAGCCACCGAGCGAGGAGGTGACCGCGAGAACGAGCCATGCTGCGCCGCGCCGCCTCTCCAGCCCTCAGGGCGCCCCGGGCCGCCTTGCTGGTGGTGAGAAACAAAGAATTACCATGCACACACCCCCCCACTCCCTCCCCCCCCGTATGCCTGCGCTGTGTGTTGGTGGCGCTGGCCACCCACCCACTCGTGTGCCGTGCCGGCCTTCGTAGGTGCTCGCTAACAGCACTTGCATCCTACAGTCTGTTAAGGATACACGGAGTGGCCCTCCCTACTTCTCAATGCCTGACACCAGTGTGGTTGACTTGGTGGGGATTCCGTTGCTTGGTGGCCCATTCGAATATTGCTGCCAGCTTCCTTAACGCTTTGCACGCCGCTTCATCCACACTGCCCGCTTCATCCCCACTGCCCGCTTCATCCACACTGCCCGCTTCACCCACACTGCCCGCTTCATCCACACTGCCCGCTTCACCCACACTGCCCGCTTCATCCACACTGCCCGCTTCATCCACACTGCCCGCTTCACCCACACTGCCCGCTTCACCCACACTGCCCGCTTCATCCACACTGCCCGCTTCATTCACACTGCCCGCTTCACCCACACTGCCCGCTTCACCCACAGTGCCCGCTTCACCCACACTGCCCGCTTCACCCACACTGCCCGCTTCATCCACACTGCCCGCTTCACCCACACTGCCCGCTTCATCCACACTGCCCGCTTCATTCACACTGCCCGCTTCACCGCTCTCTGTTCCCGTGCTTACAATAGCTGCGTTTTTGCTGCCTGCTCCATTCCAGGCTGCTTCATCACTGCTTCCTTCATCACTGCCTGCTTCACTAACACACAGTAGTGTCCTTGCTTTCATAATTAATGTTGCTGCGCGTGTCTTTGTCTGTCTTTGTTGAACGTCGCCACTGGGGAGACGAAGGCGGCCGGGAGTGGTTACTGCTCATCGCACCCCCCCTCCCCCACCTTGTGTGCCATGCATGGCCTTAATAGGTGGCTCGCTAGCAGCACTCGCTACGAAACGTCTGTCGAGGCTCTTTTTTTATATACGGGCGGATCCTGTTGCCATTTGTTGTAAACGAATTACGAGTGCCGTGGTTATCCTCCGTGCACGGGAGCTGATGAATCGTGCGGCTTTGGCTGCGGGCGAGTGGGTCGGGGTCCCCCCGTTGGTTTGCAAGTGATTACGTTGTGCCCTGGGGTGAGCACGAGTTCAGCCAACAAGCCTTGGACGCGCCCCGTGTCTGCCGAGCTGACGGGGTTAATCGTGCGGCATCCACTCACTGCTGGGGGAGGAGGAGGAGGGGCGTTCTGTGTGCACTGTGGCTGATTTGAGCATGGACACCTGCAATTTGTGGGATTTAACATCCGAATAAAAGTCTTGAGTCGTCCCCAAACAGACACCCACGTCACCGTCGGCATCGTCTTCACAGGTCGGTGAAATGAGAGTCACCTCGGTGGGCTGCAGGTTTCACTCAACCGGTCCCTGCTATATAATAAGAACGTGGAATGTTCACCACTAGTTTATGAACAAACCCCCACCCCCCCCCCCGATAATTGAATCTCACCCAATGCTTGTTTGAACATCGTCCTGTGCTGTCAGTATGGCTGTAGCCGGCTGGGAAATCGCGGTTTCGTCGACTTTGAATAACGCAGACAGAAAGAGAAACGCATGGTTCAGGGAACAAATACAAATTCATAGATATCACAATCTTATAATTGTGCTTGTCCCCCACTACTAATGCAGCATCACCAATTAATTGGTATAATGGTAACGGTGTTTGCATTTTAATGGCAATTAACTGCTTTGGCATCTTACATCACATTTTTTATTTATGAATTATTTGAATGGAACTGTTACAAAATTTAAGTGGGTTTGGACAGGACACGTTGCGAGGAGAAATCGTGACCGGGAGTGGAAACGAAGGAAGGAATGGCAGCCAAAGGAGGAAACGCGTCTTAGGGGACGCGTCCACTGCTGAGATGAGCTATGAGATCGGCTCACGTTCAAAAACTAGATGGAGTTGTAGATGCATCGCTCGACCATGAGAGATCGGTCACAGCTTGAGGAGGCCTTCATCAAGCAGTGGATTGATCATGGCTGATGATCGTGACCGTAGACCAACGTATTCTTTATTATTCGTTGTGCACTTTGTACAGCTGTTGCACACTCGAGATACCAGCGCCGGTCTTAACAGCCCAGTGACCTTCACAGCACACTTTGTGCACTTAAAAGCAGGTCATTGGAACCCTGGGGTCGCTACTGGATATCATAAACACGCTGTATTAATATAGGAAAATCAAGACGTGTTTGCTTTAATTGTATGTTGGTACTTTCACGGGAACTGCACATTTAGCGATAGAACTGATAGAGAGCTGCGGGACTTTGTAAATTGTGACAATTTCATTATCATGTGTATTACCAGCAAACATTATATCAGGCTTAGCCGACAGCACACTCCTTGGGAGGTAAATTACTTGGTTCACTGATGAGAGGGATCATATGTTGCCAAGTGTTTTGCACAAGACTTGAGTGTGAAGCCCTTTAGAATTTTAGGCTGTCCCCTGCACTGTAAGTGAAACCTTTCAACCTTCAAGCCATAATTTTCAGGGGCCCAACATCAAGATCAGTGTGCTTAAAGTTTTCATCACAATGTGTATACTACAAACTACAATGGTGAACTATTTATAGATACCCCACTTAAAGAATATGGAGACATTATAGAGAAACATTGTATTTCAAAGCCTCTACAAGTCTGTCATCCAATCACAACACATTCAATATTTTCATTTTCTCCTCTGTAAGATACGGAGCCATCAATTACACAATAGGCAATCGCCCGTTGAGAAGACTGTTAAGAGGGCGATTAGAAATCAGTAGAGAATCTAAAAGTGGATCACCCTCTACATTTTGTCCCTATGATTCCCAATGCAGAGCTGTCACGTTGAGTGTATGAAGTGCCAGGCGTGCTTCCTTGCAGGGTAATGGAAATACAGGGGCATTTGAGGTCGGAGTATTGGCCAGTGCTGTGGTCGAGTGAGATGGCTGGAGTGTCAGACAGTCCCACGCCTATCCCTGTACGTGAGAAGTGTCGTGTCACTTATGGCTGGAAGATGACCGCTAAACTCATGAATATGCATGTTGTAAAGCCACCTCACACTGCTTTTTTGCGAGAATATTAACTAGGTTTAGTAACACCGACCATATAACCATACAGTAGTATGTTCATGAATCACAATTGAACTCGTATGAATTGTTTGAAAATTACCTAAATGTGCATCCACCTTAGTTGATCGAAAGGTCGTGAGTGGTGGGTTAAAGTGTGGATATACTCCCGCCTCTTTCAATACACACTGGCAGCGTGGAAGAGTAGGCCAAGAACCCTCTCGAGGAGCTTCTCTAGATTATTTACCTTTTAATGTGAAGTTTTTGACTTGCATTATATTGTATACTGTATTTGGTATTAATGTTTGATGAACAATAAACATGAATACTGCTTTATGAACTCGTTAAGAATACCGTGCCCATTTTTCATTGCTTTATGCAACCAAATTTCCCCCCAAAAACTGTAGGCTAGAGGACAAAAAATGTCACCTAAAATACACGCTCTGTACGAATGTTTAGCGTTAACGCAATCACCGTTTAATTCCGTTGGTGGGTAAACACAACAGTGCGTGACAAGGAAATCTCTCAATGCTGTTCAAAGGCACCTTCACTGGGGAACAGTTTCTTTCCAACAGGCAAACCAGGGGGAGGGGAGATCTCGTAGTGGTGTTGTGACGTGATGTTAAACTCCCCATCCTGCAGTGTGTGAATATATAAATGTGCCATAAACAAATGTTCTGGATATTTTTTGGCGCAGAATCAATGGCTGCAAAGAAGCTACACGTCGGGGCCTGCGCTGAACGTGAGTGGCCATTTCCTCCGGGTTAGAAACAGGGGCAATACGTACACACAACGGTGGGGAATTTCATACTTGTGATACCTTGCTGTAAGGCTGTCGAGACATTTCACCTGCAAAATATGAGGCTCTTGCACCCCAACTCATTGTCATGAACATTAACGTTTCCAGCCACCACACACGTATTCGGAGTGAAGTTCTTGCATAGCGATTGGCACGCTGCGCTGCGAACCCTCGCGGACTGAGTTCAATTCCCGAGCACGGCTAGCATCAATGTCGAGTGGTATCTGAGGACTTTGCGTTGGGCACTCCACTTTTTACACACCAAACACTGACCAGCATGGTCAAACGACCCCCATAACCAGTGTGGTATGGGGAGGCCTTGAGACTACTGTCGTCATTTATCGTGCATACATGATCTAATTCCAAGTACGTACTTGTTTATTTTTTTAGTTGAGTTTGGTGCCCCCAATGTTGTGAGTTCCAGCAACTCTAGGGATCTTCTTTGGTTCTTTCGGTAAAGTCACGTAGAATGAGAACAAAATAATAAATTGATAAAATAAAATAACACAATAATATTCTCACGACGTTTCGGCCACAACACAAGCGGCCTTCATCAGGTGAAGGGAGCGAGACTGTCTGTCCTACCAGACTGTCTGTCCTACCAGACAGTCTCGCTCCCTTCACCTGATGAAGGCCGCTTGTGTTGTGGCCGAAACGTCGTGAGAATATTATTGTGTTATTTTATTTTATCAATTTATTATTTTGTTCTCATTCTACGTGACTTTACCGAAAGAACCAAAGAAGATGAATCATTGCAGTCACGAAAGCTTTAAATCGAAACTCTAGGGATATTGAGTGGCTGCCCAGTAACTGGCGTGCATGTGTATATACAGTATATCCATATTTTATATTTGCGCAGGAGGTGGTCATTGTCAGTGCCGTACGTACACCGGTGGGCTCATTCCGGAGTTCCCTGTCCTCGATCACTGCCCCCAAACTGGGTTCCATCGCGATCCAAGCTGCCGTGCAGAAATCTGGTACGTTTTGTGTTTGTGTGTGTGAAGCTCTGTGGCTGGGAGGTGTGTGCAGGGTAGTCTTTGGCTGGTGGCCGATAGTGTTCCAGGAACATTATGATTATGGGGGACTGGTGGCTGTGTGGGTTGTGTGTGTGATGGGGAGCGGTAAGTGTACTGCTTAGCGCGCTACGCTACAAACCTGCTGATATGAGTTTGATTCCTGCTCACGGTCAACATCAGTGACGATTATCTGAACCGGTCCTGGGCCTCCACTAGGTCGACTTAGTCTCAAATGAGTACCTGTGGTGCGCAAAAATATTGCCACTGAGGAGACAAAGACGGCCAGGCGTGGTGCTGACCAGCCACCCCCTCGTGTGCCGTGCCAGCCTTCATAGGTGTTGATCGGGAACAGCACTTGCCCCAACAGTCTGTTAAAGCTATACGGGGGATCTTTGTCTTTGTGGTGGGTGTGAGAAAGTAAAGTATCATGTCAGCATGTTATTTTAGGTGCGTTTATTTCCCTTTTGTACTGCAAAAACAAAAACCAGACTAAACAGGAGTCAAAGTATAAAATGTGCTTAGAGGGCGATTCATTTTGATAATATACATGTGCAGATCTGCTCACTGATAACAGACTGGTGAACGTGTAATGAATGACATCTTTAATTGAGCAGATAAACTATAGAAAAAACATTTACGTGAAATCTAGCAAAAACAACCTACATAAATGCAAAGATACTTATAAGGTTCCATATTCACAAGCTTTTACAAAGTCTTCATCGAGCAGCTGTTAGAGATGCTGTAAGAGCCTTATTTTGGTTGTCAATCCCAAGTTCCTTCGATATGTAATAATTTTCCTTGGTTAAATTACAAAAAATATATACTTTTTCCACCAAAATATATGTTTGTAAACACAAGGGTGTTTATTGTTAAACAATCTTCAATGAGCAACTCAGCTGGTGAAATAAAGTAGTTTTTTTACCTTGATTCGCTTTAAATTTGTTTTTTGTTGCTCGCAACAATTTTGTGCCATGCTGCGATGCATTTGTTTATTTTACAACACCCCTTGCTCGTTCCTATATTTAGTTTCTGATCAAGTGAGAGCCAAATGAAATGTAAAAAAAAATCTCTTTTGCAAGGCAGGCTCAGGGTGCAAACTATAGTAGAGTGGGGAAGGAAGGATGAAAGGCAAAAAAGTTAACTACTGTGGCTTCTGCTGCATAGCTTTATGAAATTTTCTGGTCATGCAACGTGTTGATTCGCTCCACATGCTGGGAGATTCTTCAAGAATTGAGGAACTGAAGAAGCTCCCAGCACATCATGATGTCAGACATCATGCCAAACAACACCCAGTACAACCCGATAGCACATCATAGAGATGAAGGCAAATGTTTTTATCCTGCAGTATGGCGGTCGATTCAATGTGCGTGTGTGTGTGTGGGGAGCGGTGGTGTGGCGGTTAGCGCCCTGTGCTACGAACCCGGCGACCCTAGGTCGAGTCAGCCTTAAATGAGTACCTGGTGTAATGTGTAAACATTGCCACTGGGGAGACAAAGGCGGTCAGGCGTGGTGCTGGACACTCACTCCCTTGTGTACCATGCCGACCTTCATAGGAGCTCGCTAGCAGCACTTGCTCCAACAGTCTGTTGAAGGCTATATGGGGGATCTTTGTCTTTTGATGAACCATAGCTGAGAGGGTTGATAAACGTGTTTATAGATTTGATTAAAAAAAATTAGTACTTCCGATGCAATATCGTTTACCTTTGTGTGACCGCCCCGCATGCAGGCATTCGCCCGGAGGACGTGCAGGAGGTGTACATGGGGAACGTTCTGCAGGGCGGAGAGGGGCAGGCACCAGCCAGGCAGGCGCTCATCGCAGCAGGCAAGCCAATCGCAGGCTTGCAGAGTTGCCACCCACACATAATACGCTTCCACAACTCCTCCGTTTTATCAGATGGGTCTCCTCAGCACAGTTTTGGCTGCGGCTTCGGTATTCTCCCAAACACATATTTGTCAGGATGTAGTAGGTCCCCATGTTGCGGAAGACCCAACTTATGGAAATCCGACCTTACGGAAATGCTCCAGTAAATCATGTTAAAACAAATTAAATATGCAGACATTGTTGCGTTAGTTACGTAAGCGCAAACAGTGCAGCGGGGTGGTGTTGCGGATGCACACCGTGGAGCGAGGCGTAAGCCCCACCTTACGCCTTGCTCCACCAAAACGCCACCTTCACCAAGCCCGAGCTTCACGAGGAATATGGTAAATGGAATTTTTTTGTAGCGTTACGTAATTGTTTTCTATGCTTATAACTCTATTTTTCCCATGTTTCTATTCCCAGTTTTCTTAACTTTAGGTTTATTTCATGAGTTATTTACTGTATGTGCTTTATTTAACACTATTACACTTTGATTGCGTACGGTCTCAACCAACAGCAATCGGAGAAGTCCAGGCCTAGCCTTAATGCACTGTAAAAGAACATTCGGAAGTGACTGCTTTCTGTTCACAATTCATAATAAAATGTTTCGTGGTCTTCATAAACAATTGGATACAGTCTATGTTCCATTAGTTTAATTATGGGTAGTGTTAGGATAGATATTCCATTAAATGAAAGAATCACAGGAAATGCAGAGCGTATGTACAGCAATACGATAAAGGTAGCGATAGAAAACGGTTGACAGCGCGACACGGTACTGAGAGAAAACGAACCTAGTAATCGGGTAGGGGAGGCACAACTATTTCCGGCTATGGGGTTTTATCTTGATTTTGGGGGAGAATTGTTCAGTTTCCGACATAAGGAAAATTTGGGGTACGGATCGTTCTTGGGAGCCTAACCCTTCCGTAACCCGGGGACTGCCTGTATATGACTTTCAGGATATGCAATTATCGGGCTTTTTAATTCCTCACCATCTCATCTCAATTGCCTTGTTGCGCTACGGCAGTCTATCCAAGGTGAACGTCCACTGGCAACCACATCGAGGTGGCACCCGTGCAGCACCAGTCTGCAATGAGCATCAGTTTTCCAGCAGGGGGCGATGTTGCTATGTAAAGTAACAACCTATTCATACGTGACCAGTATCCATATTTTTTCTTAAATTCAAAGGTGGCAACACCTACTTCCCACTTTCCTGTGACCAAGCGACATTCAACTGTAGCTACAAAGCTAACGTTCAAAGATCATATGCCGTGAAAATAAAGTTCTGCACATGCAAAAAACAACAATTTTAATTTGCAAAGTTGGCTATCAGATAGATTCATTGAAAACCAAATTAAATTATTTTTTCCCCTGTCATTTATGACCGGGCTGAGCTCATCAACTCGCTCTACACTTGGGAATCTGATTTAATCGCAGGTAAATGAAACCTGGATTATAACGCAGCATCTCATCAGTAGTGGCTCATAATCCTGAGTCATCTGGCCACCTGTTTTTTTTATAAAAAAAAAATTGTCAGCCAATGAGAAATTTGATAACGTTATCCACTGCTGGTAGCTTTTCTTAATTATGACAATGTATAGTTTTTAAACCAGTTTATACAATTGTATCTCACAGTTGCTGAAGAACCACAGACAAGTTGTAAGGCAGCCAGGTGATGAGCTGGTGCCAAAAATTGCCCAAGTTCTGCAATCCTATATATATTAAGATGTTTTCAGCCACTTAATGATTGTTTATACATTCTTAAAATAAGTTTTGTAGTGGTGATGTTTGATTAGAATGTTAATTTGTTGAGCTACTTGTAAACAAGCCACGTGAGCTTTAATGAGCCTATGCTGGAATTATAAAGATAAATTAAGTAATGCAAACCGTTTGCACATTTTCAGGTTTGCCAATCTCAACTCCTGCAACAACCATCAACAAAGTGTGCGCTTCAGGCATGAAGGCGATCATGATGGCGTCACAGAGCCTCATGTGTGGCCACCAGGTCAGAGGGAGGAGGAATTACATGGTGTTTTCAGTATTCACAATGTGTGCGTTGTGCGTAAGCGCTGTGGTGTGCTTTGTTTTATCACATTATGCACGTGGGTCTGTGTACATGCACACACGTGGGGAGCGGTAGGGTAGCAGCTAGCACGCTGCGCTACGAACCCGGCGACCTCGGTTCAATTCCCGCTCATGGCCAACACAAGTGATGATTATCTGCACCGGTCCTGGGCCTCCTGTAAGTCGACTCAGCCTCAAATGAGTACCTAGTGCAGTGTGTAAACATCGTCACTAGGGAGACGAAGGCGGCCGGGCGTGGTGTTGCCCACCCACCCTCTTATGTGCCGTGCTGGCCTTCATAGGTGCTCGCTAACCGCACTTGCCCCAACAGTCTGTTAAGGCTATACGTGGGATCTTTGTCTTTGTACATGCACACCTAAGTTTGATTCCTGGTCACAGCCAACGTCGGGGACAAGTGGCATCAGGACTTGTCCTGGACCTCTCCTATGTTGACTGAGCCTTAAATGAGTGCTATGTGCAGTGTGTAAACATTGGGTGGCAAATTTGGCCATGCATGTTTCTGGCTATATCGCCCCTTTATGCGGCACTCCAGCCTAAATAGGTGATCGCTAACAGAGCTTCCTCCAACAGTCCATATGGCTACAGAGGGGAGCTTTGTCTGTTCGCGTGCGTTGCAGGATGTGATGGTTGCGGGCGGTATGGAGAGCATGTCCAACGTCCCCTTCATCATGCGGCGTGAAGATCCGCCGTACGGCCGCGTCTCCCTAGAAGATTTAATTGTTCACGATGGACTAACGGACGTCTACAACAAGATACACATGGTGGGCACCAGCTTTTAAACCAATTGCATTCGCAACTTGGCTTTCATACACATTCCTTAAACACAGCTTGACTTTCTCGCTTAATAACTATTGTGCTTTGTCAGCCTCTGACTAAATCACCCAGAGTTGGCAAGAATAATGCTTACAATATAAACTTGTAACGCGCGCGGTATTCACTCGATCTCGAAGAGAGAGAGCGACTCAGGTCGCGAGGAACCACAGACAAGCGGGAAAGGCAGCGACGCAGTGACCTGGCACCAAATCCCCCCCCCCCCCCCCCAAGCTCGGTGGTCCTCTATATTAAGTTATTATCAGCCAATTAATGAGTGTTTAAATGTGAGGAAACCGGCGGACCTGGAGAATACATGTTGCATGTGAGGGGGAAACCCGCTATCGCATACAGATGGAACAGGTGAAGTAAACATTTCCTGTGATCCACCACCCCTCGCCTCCACAGTTGCAAGATTCTGAGTTTCGCATGCCGTTTTTAACACGTGCACGTTTTCGCAGCCGCATGTGATTCAAGGGCTGCATGTCGAGCATTTCTGCTTTCAAGCTTTCGCCACGTGCTACTCTTGAGAGAACAAATGCTTGACACGCAGCCCAACCTGGAAAACCGCGCTCGGTTCTCACATGTCCTTTGAGAAAGCGATAAATAAATCTTGATGGTTGACACTGGCCAACTTGGATCACGTGGCAGGTTTAAAAAAAAATGTGTATTGTGGTCCCTGTGCCCATTCTCCATGTGTTCACCACCCTCTCAACCTGCAGGGCAACTGTGCGGAGAACACCGCACGTAAGTTTGGGCTGTCACGTGAGGCTCAGGACCAGTACGCCATCTCCTCGTACCAGCGCAGCCAGAAGGCTTGGGAGTCTGGCAAGCTGCTCAAGGAGGTGGTACCTGTCACCATCACCAAGAAAGGTCTGGGTCTTCGCATATTTTTCATCTGTTTGTTTTATTTATCCAAATTTTATCCCAACTGTGCTGTCAATGTTAAGTCACGAGACAACCAATCCATTCGTAATTCTCACAGAACACTGCTCTGCGAGAGTTATGAATGGATTGTTTGTATTGGAGGACAAACTCCAGAACCTCTTCTGAGGACCAGTTGAAGTGACTCCCAGTCCACAAGCTTTCGTGACTGCAGTGATTCATATTCTTGGTTCTTTCGGTAAAGTCACGTTGAAAGGACAACAATATATATTTTATTATTTTATTGTTTCCTTTCAACGTAACTTTACCGAAAGAACCAAGAATATAAAGTTTTAATTGTTTAACTTTGTTTACCTATCTGGCACAGGCAAACCGGATGTGGTGGTATCGGAGGATGAAGAGTTCCGGCGTGTGGATTTCAGCAAAGTTCCCAAGTTGAAGACTGTGTTCCAGAAGGAAAATGGTAAATATTGAAACGCATTGTTTTAAGCCTGACTCTTTGTAAGATTTGCTGTAACAGTGTAATGGGAAATGTGGTGTTCCCCTAAACATGAGCACATTGATTGCAATGTAGTACCCTACAGAACTGAAATGCAGCTGTTGGGTAGAGAGCGGAAGTGCTGACATCGACTATAAATACAGTAACATGCATGAGAAATGCTATCCTGTGCATCAGCTGATGGCTCGGTTGGATTCAAAATAAGGAACTAAGATGTCTAAAAAACAACGTATATATTGCATACAGAAGGAAAAAAAATTGCATTCTGCAGCATGGTTGTTGAACACTATGGATGACAGGAAATTGTCAGTCCTTGACATTAGGATTATGTATCAAGCCGTGAAGTCCATGAGAGCAGTCTGTAAAATGTATAGGCCGTAAAGGTGGGGATGCAGATCTTATAACAGTCAACAGAAGTCTCATTCGGAAATTCACCATCTAGATATTGGCTCCAGACAACAGGAGGAGACCAGGCCAAAAGATGACCAGATTGACCAACTGGTCCTTTCTCTCCAGATCGCTCCCTAGACCTTCCTGATTGTTGCTGCAAGGACTGAAACTTGGGCGTCAGGCCCAACTGTTAGAACCTTGCCCCCTCAACAGGCTTGCCATAAAAAAATCCCTTGCGTCTGGGGCATTGATTCCCTGCGCATCCACGCGTTCGCGCGGGTGACGAATCGCCGTGGGTCTTCGCTCCCTGCAGGCACAGTGACCGCGGCCAACGCGAGCACCCTCAACGACGGGGCAGCCGCTCTGGTTCTCATGACGGCACAGGCGGCAAAACGGCTGGGCGTCACACCCCTCGCACGCGTGGCCGGTACCGCCTGCCCACTGCACGACGACTTGTGTACACTGCATCCCATCCCCTTACGCGCTCCTTACTTGAAGCGGTACACCCACAGGCCTTTTGGCGGTCCGCTGCCAAGTGATGGTGGTGTCCTTGCATCATGTGGGTTCATATTCTCTTGGTTCTTTCGGTGAAGTCACGTAGAAGGGAAACAATAAAATAATAGAAAATATAAAACAATGAAATTCTCACGACGTTTCGACTGCAACACAAGCAATCATCAGCAGGTGTGAAAACCACAGCAAGAACATTTGAAAAAAAGTTTAAAAACCGCCACTTTTTTTCTAATTTTCTTGCTGTGGTTTTCACACCTGATGATGATTGCTTGTGTTGCAGTCGAAACGTCGTGAGAATTTTATTGTTTTATATTTTTATAATTTTATTGTTTCCCTTCTATGTGACTTTACCGAAAGAACCAAGAATATGAATCCCAGCAGTCACGAAAGCGTTAAATCAAAATCATGTGGGTTGTGGAGGTTATTTGACCATACTCTCCCTGACGTAGTCTCACCGAATGTGGTAAAGGACATTTGTTTTTTTAATTTAAAGCTTTCGTGACTGCAGTAATTCATATTCTTAGCTCTTTCGGTAAAGTCACGTTGAAGGGAAACAATAAAAATAATGTTTTATATATATTTTATTGTTTCCCTTCAACGTGACTTTACCGAAAGAGCTAAGAATATGACATTTGTTTTCTTTCATGTTGTATTTCCTTGAACTTTTGAAAACATTCACAGATAATTCCGGTAAATTCTGTTTAGGCTTTGGAGATGCTGCGGTGGATCCCATTGACTTTCCGATTGCCCCTGCCTATGCTGTGCCCAAGGTGAGAACTCAAAAGCCATGGTAGTTATATAGCTGCGACCACAATGTACAACATGGACTGTGCATCACATGCCATGGGGATCATATTTCATCATGTCGGTCAGCACGGGTTGTTGAATGCGGAAAGCATGAAAGTGAAATGCAACGATAGATTTTGCTGCATTGCCGTCTTACTGCCCAATACATAACCCCAAAGGTTAAATCACCTCTTAGGCATGGGATTGCTCATGGGAGCACTACCCAGGCTTAGCTTCTGAGATGTGACAAAATCAGGCACATCCCAGATCATTTTGTCACAGATGCAAATGAAGTATGTAGCGTGTGGTTTGGGCTGCACTGGCATTTCACGTGTGATGTTTACTCTCCCACAGGCGCTGGAACACGGCGGTATCAAGAAAGAAAACATCGCCATGTGGGAGATAAACGAGGCCTTCAGTGTGGTTGTCCTGGCAAACATCAAAATTCTGGAAATTGACCCAGCGCGTGTCAACATCAATGGAGGTGCTGTCGCTTTGGGCCACCCCATTGGGTAAGCCACTGTGGCAGCCGCTGCATAGCACGTGTCTTGGATGCGGTGGACTGCCATATAAGCATGTAGATTAAATAATAAGGCAGGTGAGAGAGCAGGTTGGATTGCTTTTATAAAACTGAACTTAACGATGAAAAATGCTGAGTGTAGTACTTAAAGAAGCTTACTTAAAGAATCTCATGTGGGTCTCTAATATATATGAAAGTTTTAGGGGCTCATGGTGACTGAGCTGAAACCATCAACTCATTGCACTTGACAACCCAATACAATCACAGGTGGCTTTAACCAGGATTCGAAATCACAATCTCAGTGGAGTCAGTTCAGTGCAATGACATCCAAGTCACCCAGCCACTGCCAAGCAAGTTTCTCTTTTTGCCGTTTTTTTCCCCAACGTTACCCCCATAATGTTATCGGCATCATGTCTTTTAAACACTTGCAGGATGTCAGGGGCTCGGATCGTTGGCCACATGGTGCATGCTCTGAAGGCAGGGGAGTACGGCATGGCTGCGATCTGCAATGGCGGTGGCGGAGCATCGGCCCTGCTCATAGAGAAGCTGTGAGCTACCTGGGCAACTACAGCGGCACCTTCCCCACAGATGATGGTCACGTAGTTGATGACGGGCGTCCGAGTGAGCACGTACATTACTGTTGTAGGATAGAGTTCAACCTCGAAGGTGTGTCATTTCAGCCAACGGTAAAACAAATTTGAGTTAACGTTTGTCTAAATTCTACGATGTTTGCACACTCGTCCTGGTAATTGTGTCGCGAAGATGCTGTGTTTTTGGACAGCCTTCCACGTTATTCATTTGGTGAAGCTTGCCCTCTTGAACGGAATCGGTACATGCGCTCCAGATAACATTACTAAGGAAGAATCGGAAGCTCATACAGCAATCCCTCGCCAAACGCGGAGGTTAGTTTTCCTGGAAAAGGCCGTGGTAGACAAATCTGCGGTTGGTAAAATACAGGGCCTATGGCAAATAGGGGGTTAGGGGAACCACGTCCGTGGTCAGACTTGTCATAGCTTAACTAACTTGAATATTTATTAACTAAACATGAATAAAATAGTGCATTACACATCAACATAATAAAATATAAATAAACATTAAATTTACTTTACATAACTTTCATGTTGAGGGTAGAAGTCCATTATTATGACAATGAGATTATGGGGGTATACAGGTAATAAACCATGTGTACATGATTTCCGCAGTTGGCTAGGGATTGCTGTACTCTTTACAAGTTTCCCGGCTCACACTCCTAATATATCACGGCACACATAAGTATGTCGCCTTTACATTTCTTGGAACAGACCAGTATATAGCCTTTACATTTCTTAACATGTCAGGAGTTTCCAAAGCATAAAGCACTTTTCATAAGGATGACCAACCCAGTTTCATTGTCCTGTAACCCTCTGAGGTCGAGGATAATTCTGGATCTGAGACATGGACACACTTTAACAATCTAATTCATTACGATGTTCAAGTCTTGTATAGCCCAGTCTCACTCCCAAGGTCATGTGTAGCTTCGTTGTTCAGAGTTAACGAACCTCTTGTCGAATGCATACCTGTGGTATTGATGAGCTTCTCAACAAGCTGACCAATGTGGTGTGGCCGTTATGCGCTAGGGGATTGGCGTGATGGAGGTCTGCTTGGGTACATCTACAGAATTCAGCCTCGGAAGGAACTGGACCCAACCATTGTCATTTATCCTCGAGACATGCTTTGAAGATCCTTGGCAATTTATTGTCAAGTGGGACAGGCACAGTAATTTTTATTGGCAAACATTTCTCTGTGTTACATTTCTTAGTCTAAGTGTTATTGTGGATGTCCCTGCCTTCCCACTTGCCCTTGTTTCAAGCACTGCAAATAGAGATGAGAGGAAGTGTTTGGAAGCATTAAACGTGGGCTAGGGGATGACACAGTGTGGAATAGACTCAAATGTTGTGCAAATTAAGCTAAATGGTTGTACAGAAATAAAAACAATGGAGTTATGATTTACTGTTGTGCCTTCTGTGGGTGTGGACAGTGTCATCCTTCATTGTCACGTGTTTACTGTCCTTGCATATTATGTTTAATATTCATAACTACCAACTGTCACTGAGAGGAGATTGTCACCAATTAAATATATTTGGCGTTCAATATCAACTAAACTATGTAGAGGTTACTACGTCTTAACCTCCACAACTATTATATTTACGTTTTTGTTAATATGCAGCATGTATTATCGATTTTTAAGTTTGTCGTCATACCAACCCGCACTGACCAGCGTGAAGTATGGTCAAACAACCCTCGTGACCCACAGCGTGGGGAGGCCCTCATCCGGAAGGGAATTCATGCAACTTGTCCTTCCCCCGCACCTCCAAATAGCACGGTTGGCTACATACGTAGCGAACGAAGTTCAACATACATAACAAAGGCTGTGCATGTACTCACCACTTCATAAAACGGTTCTAATGGTTTATTATGAAACGTGCTTAATAAATGAAAATGACCTTTTTTAAAAAACAGAATATTGTATCCAGACACATCATCATGCAGTTGCCATTGCATTGCAAAATGTTGCAACCACCACAACATACAATAACCACAACAAAATTAAACCTCTACATTCTAATGTTTTTTTACCTTTAATGTAAACCCACCGAATGTACATGTAGTGCGCAAGATAAAACAAAATATTTAAAATAGGCAGTGCGAAGTTACGTAACTACACCTGTATCCAAAAATGTGCACTCAGATGTCTGTCAATTCGGTGCACATTAAAATGCAGCGTCTACTCCGGTACAATATTGTTTTTTTTCCCTATATAAAAATATAAAACAGATGACCAAATGACGTAATCTTTCTGAGGGCAGTGTCTAGGGAAATCTGTCAGATCTACAATGACCAAAACGTCCAGAATAACCTGGGTTTGGAATAACTTTGTGAAAGTCATAACATGGCGACTTTATAAACATTACTACCACCGTATGAAAGATATCCAACGCATAAAAATTAACACCTCACCTGCCAACAACATACGCCCCAATTTCTGAGTTCCAAAACTTCATTGTAATGTCGGCGTTCCATCGCGGTAAAGTACAAAAATAATTCGGCTGCCTGCATCCGAGAATCATAAAAAAAACTTTTTCAATTTTTACATCCAACATTTTTTTGTAACATTGTTGCAAACGCAGTACTCATTGCCATGACTCGTAAAACCCCCATTTGTTTAAATGCCACACAGTGATCGGGGTCGATCCAACACAAGACTACCACGGTGCGGCCAACAACGTAACCAGTTGATTAATACTAAATCATCTCCCCCGTTGGCCAAACGGCACAACGTCGTGTTAATTACTTAATGTAGGATGTGGTGCTGGGTGGTTCTAATCACAGCACGGATGGAGCCAGCGCCTCTTAAATCCTGAGTTATAATCCAGGTTCACAGTTACCTGCGATTCTATTGAGTTCTCACGTGTCGCGAGTTCTCAGCCTCTGTCAACTGCACACATACCAAAAAATGTCGCACATTTGTTTTCACTCAATTTGTCATATTTCACCTCTAAAACGTAATGTATGTTTTACCAATTGCCATGCAACAGACACTTGCAGGGCTTATCAAGAGGTTCCCTCCTTAAATGTGGTTAAGAAACTCGATTGAATTGACTTAATAAGCCGCTCTGTAACGTCATCCCTTGAGACCCATTCGCTAACACGGTGATGCACTACCAACGTGACGCCGACAGCACAATTGCAATATTGTTACTCTTTGTTTTTTTAGGTAAAGTCACGTAGGTAAAACAAAATTAAAATAAAACTAAATGAAATCACGACGTTTCAGAGGCAACACAAGCTTCCGTCTTCAGGTGGAACAGTCACAGCAAGACAGCTGCATCAAGCTATTACGTCGTGATTTGATTTCGTTGTTTTTTATTTTTATTGTTTTACCTATGTGACTTTACCGAAAAAACCAAAGAGTATGAATCCCTGCAGTCACGAAAGCTTCAAATCTGCAATATTGTTGTAGAGGCAAAAAAACGATTTAAAGCGACTGCGTGCATTCAAGTGGAAAGTTGCATTAACTGTACAGAAGGGTTTAGAAGCGTTGTTTAAACTCAGACACACAGGTACTCTTTAACAAACAAGATCAGTAACAATGACCTCGAGTTACACAACGACACCCTTCTATAACTCTACCCCAAGGGTGGAGACATGTGAACCAGACCGGAAAACTCTTTGACCGTCCCTGCGAGACGAATCGATAACAACGTTAATGCAACAACACAAGTGGAATTTCAGCAGTCGCCTGCTGCTTGATTTACCGACTTCCCCAATACAGCCTGTTCCAAAGTGTTAAGCTTTGCAAAGGCTAAATATTTTCGGGTTTGTTTACGCCAGGGTCCCCTTCTCCTCACTCCAGGTTACCGGTTTCATATTGACCTCACGATACGCGGCCACACGCCTTGGCTTCATGTGCCGACACTTCAGCATTACACAACATTAGCTATACAGCGCTCATTGCTACGACTCGCAATACTCAAACGTAAGCAAAACGGCAGCGGCCTCTCACGAAACGGTAATACAGTGGCACTAATTTGCACATTCCTATGATGGATGTCTTTCCACAAGCAAACTACTGCTAATATTCCCACAAAGAGGTGCTCATTTTATAGGCACCAGAGGAATGAAGTGCTAAATCAATCCCGACTCGGATTTGAACTCGTAAACCTTCAGATTGTGGCAAGACAATAAACCACTACGCTACCTGGTGTATTACTTCATAATGATCACAAAACACTAACCTTTCGTATTATTACTTACAGTGTTATCGTGAGAAATTATATTGTTTACGTACAACCATCCGAGTGCCATTCTATATCATTTTTGTCTCTCGGTGAAATAATAGACGGAACATGTTTGCGTCCACAGATAAACAGTGCTGGAGTGGTAGGTTAAACACCGTTGTTCTTCGGTTTCTCTTCCTTCTTATGTCCTTCTCTCCCAGTGACCTTGCATGACCTTACTTCATAACTCTTCTTAAGCCAATGACAGGGCTAGACGAGGACACAATAGGTTGCGGCCCTGCACCAACTGCAAGTGCCATGCACGGAAGGATGGGCAAATATCGTTGCTGCACGGCTTGTTTTTTTTTTACCAAACCAGGACACAGCTGCATTGGCCCCTTCGTCAAGCGAGTGTCAAAAGCTCGCGAAATAAGCAGCCACAACCTAGCAGCATCACAACGGCAAGGCATAGCAAGTACAGTGTTGTGCATGGCAAATGCAAGAAAATGTATATCACTTGTCATTTAGCCGGTCAAAATAATTATATATAAGTCAAAAGTTTGGCCGATATCAACACCAGTTTACGAGTTTGCCAACGCAAACCTTTTGAGTGTTCTTACGTATGCATGTTGAACTTCTTTCGCACCGTACGGAGCCAACCGTGCTTATCGGAGGTGCAGGGGGAAGGACAACAAAAGGAGTTACCCCTCGTGCATGGGGGTTTCCTCTCTTTAAAAGGGAATTGGCCAAACGTCCCAATGCAGGACTCTCATGAAAAGTCTGGAGATCTTTTGAGGCTTTCCCGGATAAATAAAATAACATTTTGGATACATACGTACACGTGGCAGCCACCCCAAGTGTGTCAACCGTTAACACCCACGGCTGGCCCATGACCTATCAGCAAGCCTTCGCCATTCTACGTGGCTTCAAAGTGCACCTAGCCTGGCACAAGCGCCACGGCGATATGTGTGTATGCATGTTGAACTTCTTTTGCAATGTACGTAGCCAACCATGCTAATCGTAAGTGCGGGATTTGAACGACTGCTGTCATTGTGTGTGTGCTTACGTACATACGTAGTATACTTCTCGTGTTTAAATCTAGATTGGAAAACAATTTCTTCAGAACTGCTTTTCGTGTTTAGTTTGTTGTTCTTCCCCCCACACATCTGATTAGCAAAGTTGGCTAAAGCAACAGACGTACATACATACATACAGACGTACATACATTAAATTAAATTGCTGTGCCTAAAAAAGACAAAACCGAGTGCCGTCATAGCGTCTTGTGTCGGCGCTGCTCTGGCACGCACAGCAGCGCCACGTAGGGAACCCCGATGAAGGCCCAGCGCTCGCTGGGCCAGAAGCGGACCGCCGGCCCTCGCTCCGGCGCCTCCGAGAGGACGTGCAGGTACGCGAAGCACACGCATCCCAGGTACGCCGCCAGGCAGATGAGCACGTGCCTGAACAAATGCACCGCAACGCATAGACACCCCCCCCCCACCCATCCATGATCAGACTCACAATTATCCGACTGTGCTGTCGGTGGGCACCGATTTAGGTCGGCACACGGTGCTGGAACGGGGAGAGGGGGGGGGGGTGGCGGGGGACAGCATCGCGCACCGGCACGATTACACCACGTAATCGTTTTATGATGAGTCAACCCGGGTTTACATTCCAAATATCTGTTGGTAATATGCACAGTCCCTTGTCGATACAGACGAGGGCCTCCCAAACGTCGTGCAGGTCGTGGGGGTTTCTTGACTACGCTGCTCAGTAAGGATTGGTTATGGCAGGGAGCATAGCCACGGGAGCATGGAAGTACAGTAAAACAATGAACCACGCTGCACTGTTGCCCACCAAATAGCGATGCTGGGGTGTTTGACAACCTGGTATGCATAGTAGTTGCACATTAAAGTAATATCCAGGCTCAGCCCTGCTTAATTTACATGATCTGACATCATCAAAAAAACTCTGGGTGATAAATTTAACCCATGTCACGGAGATAATAATGTAGTGTGTTAACCACTACTGAACAGTTCACCGCAAAAGCAGAGATTCCATGTATAGCCGTACGAAGTGTTTGGGGAAGTTCTGTTCGCAGGCAAATGTTAAGGCCGGAACAGCACACAAGCAGTGGTGGGACCAGAACCATTCCTGGCTGTCTGTCTGGTACAGAGTTTTTCACACATTTAAGACCCAGTCAACCGTGGGGATTGTCCACAACAGGTTCACAGCAAGCATCACACCTCACCATCTTTGTCGTTCCAGTGCTGAAGTTGAAACATTGCACCAGATAGTCACTTAAGGCTGGGTCAACCTCGTGGTGGCACCATTCATAACAGGTTCAAGATACCACTTGCCACCAATGGCATCAATGGCTGGGAATGGAACCCAAGTCACCCGATGAGTATCGCAATGAGCAAAACACTGCACCGCAGCTCTACACTCACGTCTGCACATAAGCCCAGGTCCCCGGAAAAAAAATTGCAGAATGAAGTTTGTCGGCATCTAAAGGACAACTTGGAACGAAACACTGTAAAAATAACTTCAGAGCTAGACTGTATAAATGTCACTGGGGAATGAAATGCAACAAGTCGAGCAGGAAACGCGCAGAGAATCAACACAATGGCTTGTCCGCGCAGTCGATCTGTCCGCAACGTACACGGAAAGCGTGCGTCTAGCTGGCAGGTCGCTCACTCAGCGAGAGCCTCTACCGCCCTCACCAGAAGCAGTGCAGGTAGGGGAAGTTGACTGCCTCCCAGAGGTCACAGAAGAGGCGATCGCTGATCCAGCAGAGGAAAGCAAGCGTCCACCAGGCCCCGGCCACCAGGCCCAGCTTGTACACGCGGTTGTTGTCACAGCTGCCGTGCGAGATGGAGACCGAGCACAGTGGTGTGCGATGATGATGCCCGCATGCCTGACTGCTGTATATTTAACTTAATTATTCTCACCCTGAGAGATATTACTGGCCATGATTTGGGGTCATGATGGAATGCAATTGTGGATTACTTTATTCATCTCGTTGTTAACGTCTCGCTTGCATTGTTATTAACGTTTTTCCGTCTTGTATAGTTTTGTCCATTCCATTATCATAGAGGTTACATTATCTTAAGAGTTCACAAATCATTTTAATTGCAAGCAATCAAATCTTACATCACGAATTAAACACATGTATTGTGTGGAAAAACATATGTTAATCAGTTAATCAGTATATAGGTCTATTGCACAAGTCACGATTCGCAGGAGGTGCTAAGACGAAGCCTCCTAGTGTTTCTAAAGTTTAATACGCAGGCTTTCGCGACCAATATTATTCATATTAAAGGTTATTTTTGGGTTAGATCGCATCATGAAGTGTTTCTCAACTCCAGCCCTGTGATTAATCGACCAAGGCGTGTGCGGCATGCAGTGGCCTCACCTTCATACGCCCAGACAAGATTATTAATAACAAACTAGCAGACTATCAGGCAGGGTCACAAAACTGGATTTGCGATTCACTGCATCCGTGTGGTCTACTGGGTTAGTCGGCCCCACGCTGAGCATTTCTTCTCTAAAGCATTCACCACCGCGCACTAATATTACCACGACTACAGGCATCTTCAGGAGTTGTTCAACACGCACCAAACCTGGTAGGCCACACGTCGATTGGAGGAATAATAATAATTTATTCATCTTGTAGAAATGCGAAGAGCGACGAAGCTCTTTTTCACATATGTCCAGTCGAGGCGGGTTAGTAAGTTACAACAATACAAAACATCGATAGGAGTACAAAGTTTAGGAAAGGTAAGCAAATCACTAAAAGAAAAATAATGAAACTAAAGAGTTTTTTTTTTAATATACATACCAGGTAAAACCCACTGAGCTATTAGTTCTATATCAGAAGCAACCTGGCCACAAATGATAGCTCAACGAAGCGGCTCATCATGCGGACATTTATAGCAGGCAAATAATCGAAAAGCAATGTTTAGGAGTTGCAAAAAACCACCCCTCCCTCCCCCCCTCCCTCCCTCCCAGTGCTGCAGTGAGGAATGCCGCTGCGAGCAACCGAACAAGGTGAGGTGCGGCACGGAGCGTGCGCCCCACGCTCACCGCTTGAGCTCGGTGATGAGCAGCACGGTGCACGGGATCCCGAAGGCCATGAGCGTCACGCTGTTGAGAGCAGGATTCACGAACGCCAGCGCCGTCACCACCAGGGTCAGCGCGCACATGACCACCTTGAACCTGCCCCTGCGTGCGCACACATTGGACAATCGAAACGTGTGGTTTGTGATTCTTGGAAAAAGAGGCGGATCCAGAGTGGGGGGGGGGGGTCCCAAAATTTCTATATTTCTAAACAGGGCTCTACTTAAATAAATAAATATATAATCGCCCAGAGATGTCTGTCTGTCCCGCGTGTGACGTCACTCCACATGAGGCCCACCCCCCCTCATTAATATTCATGAGTGTGTGGATTTTTACACTAACACAAGAGGAAGGCTGAGCTGAATTAAATAATGTATTACGCAAAGTCACTTCAAATATGACGTTTCTTTACAGAAAGTGACTGTAAAAAATAATATACGTAGCACAGTACTACATCCGTGGGTGACGTCACTGCAAAAGAGGCCTCCCCCCCCTTCATTAATATTCATGCCCGCGTGGAAATTTACACTAACGCACAAGAAGGTCGCACACTCCTCATGCCGCACCTCTCCCCTCATTAATAGTCATGAGCGGGTGACGTCACTGCACATGCCGCACCCTTCCACAATAAACATGAGGGGTGACGTCACTCCACATGGGGCAACCCCCCCTCATTAATAATCATGAGCTGAACAATTTTTCTATTGAATATTTCAGATTTACTGCAATATACACCCATCCTTGGACGGGCAAAAATTCTATTAAATAAATATGCAATATCTTCTTTGGTTCTTTCGGTAAAGTCACGTAGAATGAGAATAAAATAATAAATTGATAAAATAAAATAACACAATAAAATTATCACGACGTTTCGGCCACAACACAAGCGGCCTTCTTCACTTTTGTTGTGGCTGAAACGTCGTGAGAATTTAATTGTGTTATTTTATTTTATTAATTAATTATTTCATTCTCATTCTACGTGACTTTACCGAAAGAACCAAAGAAGATGAATCCTTGCAGTCACGAAAGCTTTAAATCGAAATATTCAATATATTTTCTGTTATGTTAATAATATAACTTTTTTTGGGGTCTCAGGAGAGGGTGGCGGGTGGGGCAATGGCCCCCATCCTCTATATGTTTGTTTTTCTTCCCCACTCCTCTGATTTGCACGATGGGCTACTTATTAAGTGAAAGAGGTTAAATATACACACATACATATGCTTAGAACTGGAATTTAGCCAAGGGAAATGAAAATGTAACTTTAATACGATGGGTTTTTTGAGCAATCATTGGTGACCAGGCCAAGAGCATCAACCCGGCTTAATCATGGTCGACTTAAACTCAAGATTCAAACCCAGAATCTCAGCGGTGCTGGCTGGCTCAACGATCTCTTATCCCTGAAGCCAGTTAGTTGGGCACCTCTCAAACGCCACATCCCCAAGGTGTCATGCACGGCTCCGTACCGGTTTTTGCGGAAGGCTTGAGGCAGCAGACGGCGCGGGAACCACATGGCTAGCGCAGACATTATGACCCAAAGGATGGCCAGCTCGTCCAGCATCTGCCCCAGGAAGCTGAGCGTGGCGTGGAAGTAAGCGGAGCCGGCACCTACAGCACATGCCAAGTCGCAGCCTTTTCAGTACACACAGTGCACAACCGTGCCCACTCGCCCCCTATGTTTCCAATGTCTCGCTCCACTGAGCCAAGTTCAAATAGAGTTGTATAAATGAGAGTTATTGAGCCTCACAGAAACCATTCTCTTAATTTATGTCCAGTCAGCTTAATAGCATAAGAGCATGTTGCCTGGTGCACCACGGATGGGTTCAATCGCAACCTTGACGTCTGTATATTTGGAGTTTGCATGTTCTCCCCGTGGTCGCGTAGATTTTTCTCCAGGTCCTCCGGTTTTTCCCTCCACATTTAGAAACATGCATTTAGAATACCTGGCTGCTATATATTTCCACATAAGCCACTTCGTTGAGCTATCATTTGTGGCCAGGTCGCTTCTGAAAAAGAGCTATATAGCTCAGTTGGCCTTACCTATAAAAATAAAAAATAGTTTAGTTTCGCATAGCGAAATAACTTGATATTATAAACATACGTTCTTGCTCTTAACAATGTCATCGTACAATGCTTCCGAGATGACAAAATTAGCTCATCAGCTGACTTTCTGATGAACAAAATTTAATTAAAATTAGCTCATCTGTAATCCCAAAAATATCAACATTAGCATCGCCAAAGTACTTAATTTGCAATGGGTGTTTCTCGACTCAACAAGCCAACACAATGTTCCCCACATGTGGAGTGGCTTTGAAGGCACAGCACGAATGACAGCGAGGTTTCTCTCAAATGAGATGTGAATCCAGAGCAGGGCCCTACCAACAACCAGCAGAAGGGCCCAGATGAGGTTGATGCCACGATTGAAGTGTCGTGCGTATGGCCGCGATAAGTGGAAGCACAAAGGCGGGAGCACGAAGAACAGCGCATTGCTTAACTGTGAACACAAATGCATGCAGATTAAGGACACGAATTAAAGAAAATTGCCCCATTAATTCAACTGCCGTACCAGGAGCTGGAATCGCACCCGTGACCTCTGTGTGCTAACCAGTGTGCTAACCATTACACCATGGACGTTTAAAAAGAGAAATATACGATATGCGTGCAGGAAACCACTCTTTTCCATTTGATTAAAGGGAACACACACAAACACCACTTTAACAACCCCAGTCTCAAACCGACTTGGCTTCTGAGATATAACAAGATTGGGTGCATTCTGGCTGATTTGGTCATCGACAGTGAACACATATAGAAACAATATATAACTGCACATCTTCGGCAAACAATGAATATCAATACAAACTCACAGCTGCTTTAAAATACACACATGTGATTGCGTGCAACTTAAGTACACACAGTAAAGTGATATGTACACACCAGCCAAACTGCAAACACTCAAAATAAACAACAAGCAGACAATATATATCGTTCAAATATGTGCATCCACATACATAAGCTTCAAGTATTTTTACACTTGCCATCAACTACAAGGTCCTCTGGGAGTGCATGATGTTAGCAGCATTGGTTCAATACAAGCAAACTCTGCACTGGTTTAAAAATAAAGTGTCTCACCAGCTCAGTCAACATTTCTTGAACCAATGCTGGTGAACTTCTAAATGTTATAGGCAAGGACCTTCTCTTTAAGATATGGGAGCTAGTTGAAAACACAAATGCTCGTAATTTTCATTCGCTGCTAGCACCGCAAGTATTTTCTCACCGTTAGCATTTCACTTAATCAAACTTGTCATCATCCGCCAGTCCTAATTCTAAAGGTGAACTCTAAACAAGTTCATCTGAAGACCATAACATAACTATCCCCATTAACTGCTTGTATCACTTATAGCCCTGGCCTCCAAGATCTGACCGAACAGTTTCCCAGCATTTGGCCTTAGATCTTGGAAGGTCGCGTGACTGCTCTGCAGCAGCTGTGGGATCTGGCGGAGAAGGCGACAAAGCTTTGGCGATGAGGTGTGGTTGCATCACGATGACCTCTTGACCTCGAACATGACCGAGCTGTAGGTGTGCACGGGCGGGTACCGTATTGTAGAATTCCGCGATGGTGGGAACGATGGCGTAGTTGTGCTCACACCAATCCACTTCCGATGTTCCAGCAGCTAGTTGTGGCCAGACCTCCCCGCCCATAATGCCCTGCAATGAGAGGAAGGGCACCAATGGCTTTAATGCCCTGGGGCAGAGTTCTTAACGTGAGTGATGGGAACTGCACGGTGAAGGACAAGAAAAGAAAGACGAGTTGGAGACGATGGTTAGAGGCGGGTGGCTGGCAAACATCTGATTACTTATTCATGACTGTCAAAAGTTGTTAACGATGGAAGCAGAGACTGACGATGGTGAGCGAGAAGAAAACTTGTACATAAAATAAAACACGGCTACCAGCTTGGTCATCGGAGTTCAATAAATCATACAAGAGTTGAACCAGAATTTCCACTTTCAGTACAATGTGGTTATTAATCAGGGTGTTAGTAGCCTAAGAGACCAAACATTGTATTACAAGATTAACTTAAATGGCTTAATCACTAAAGATTATTCTAAGACTAAAACCCGACTTGGATAGCCAACAAACAAGCTTTATGTTTCACAAACACTCGGGCTGGCTTTTAAACTTGGGCGACGCAATCTCTGCTGAACTTTCACAACCTCGGCGATGTACCCGCAGATCTTACAGATTACACATTAGCTCATGCGTGTTGATCAACATGTTTTTTTTAAAAGCCACCATGAGCCATCATGAAGAGCTGAGACTCCACCTGTTCACCAGGCACAGGCAACTGTTTAGGCATTACAAACACATTTTTATAGCTTGTCAGCAGGAAAACAAATACTGAAAACAACGTATGACCAAATTATTCACAAGCCCTTCCCACTCAAGCTGTTGTTTTGATAATAGCTTCCTTACATAACTCTTTTAAGTTTGGCAAAGTTTGACGTCTGGCTCAACCGTTCACATTTTGTTTTTTGTTATCCGAGTTGGGATATCCGACCACAGTCGAGCTGATGTCGCCCACCCATTTCTGTACACAACAGAGGGCACGCGATGGACACACAATCCAAACAACACTGAGACAACAACACCAACAGAGGACACGACAGAGGCATACAGTAACACACTCAACACACACTCAATACAGCACACACAATACAGCATACTGAACACACGACCCACTCACAGCACACACACACAATAGAGAATGCACAACACACACACAACTGCTACACACATCAGATACGCTACAGACTACGGTGCCGTTAGCGAGCACCTCTTAACCAACCTATCAACCCCTTATCAGTACCCTACCACATTACAGACCAATTCAGACCATATTGGTCACCCCCGTGCCCCTTACAAATCTCTACGTTCACCCTACAAAGTCCCGTCGCAAGGTACAAACACAAACAAATAGACAACAATAATGAATGATTGACTTGTAGGTCCGTATGGACCTGAAAATTCAATTCGCCTGTACAAGAAGACGCGGGGTGAAACCGCGTTGGGGATGGGGGGGTCGACAGATCCGCCCGCGTGCACGCCGCCGGCACAGCGCACGACGCAGGCGGCGTTGATCTGACCATCACGGCGCAATCGGCCGCCTTTGTCTCCGCCGGTGGCCAACGTTGGACAACAACACGTCGGCGCCAAATGGGCAACCCGTCAACAACACTCCACGGGCCGAGTCGAACGTAGAGAAGACGTTCACAGCGGACCGGCTCTCGGTAGTCACTCGCCGCGAGACGCCCGGCGAATGGAACTCGCGTGTCAGCCTCGCGCGCGCTGACCACTGCGCCACCGCTCCCCCTCCACTCCCCCGTATGAAGGCAAAGATTCCCCGTATAACCTCCGCAGACTGTCGGGGGCAAGTGCCGTCGGCGAGCAGCTACGAAGGCCGGTGGCGAGCATCACGCACCGCGGCGCGGCCTTTGTCTTCCACCACCACCACCCCCCACAGCACTTGACTCTGTAACTCGCGGCGTGGAAGACGTTTTGATGAGGCCGGGAGCGCCGGAGAGGGGGAAGAGTCGAGAGAGACAAGAAGGGGGGGCGGTGGACAAGAGACACGGGGGAAGGACTTGGAGCAGCAGGAACAGGAGCAGCATCACTCACCCAGCCGGCGAGCGTCTCTCCTCGCCCTCCTCCACCACAGCGAGACGGCGAGTCCCGTGTGACGTGTCCGTGACGTGCCGGGCCACGCGTGCTTAGTTTATTATCCCTAAATACCGATAGACGCAGATGATGATGTTGCAGTCAACTGTCGAGTATCCAGCAGTGGATCCACCGTGGATCATGATGATGATGTTGCAGTCAACTGTTGAGTATTCAGCAGTGGATAGACCGTGGATCATGATGATGATGTTGCAGTCAACTGTTGAGTATCCAGCAGTGGATAGACCATGGATCATGATGATGATGTTGCAGTCAACTGTCGAGTATCCAGCAGTCAGTGGATAGACCGTGGGTCATGATGATGATGTTGCAGTCAACTGTCGAGTATCCAGCAGTGGATCGACCGTGGATCATGATGATGATGATGTTGCAGTCAACTGTTGAGTATCCAGCAGTGGATAGACCGTGGATCATGATGATGATGTTGCAGTCAACTGTCGAGTATCCAGCAGTGGATAGACCGTGGATCATGATGATGTTGCAGTCAACTGTTGAGTATCCAGCAGTGGATAGACCGTGGATCATGATGATGATGTTGCAGTCAACTGTCGAGTATCCAGCAGTGGATAGACCGTGGATCATGATGATGTTGCAGTCAACTGTTGAGTATCCAGCAGTCAGTGGATAGACCGTGGATCATGATGATGATGTTGCAGTCAACTGTTGAGTATCCAGCAGTGGATAGACCATGGATCATGATGATGTTGCAGTCAACTGTCGAGTATCCAGCAGTGGATAGACCGTGGATCATGATGATGATGTTGCAGTCAACTGTTGAGTATCCAGCAGTGGATAGACCGTGGATCATGATGATGATGTTGCAGTCAACTGTTGAGTATCCAGCAGTCAGTGGATAGACCATGGATCATGATGATGATGTTGCAGTCAACTGTTGAGTATCCAGCAGTCAGTGGATAGACCATGGATCATGATGATGATGTTGCAGTCAACTGTTGAGTATCCAGCAGTCAGTGGATAGACCGTGGATCATGATGATGATGTTGCAGTCAACTGTTGAGTATCCAGCAGTCAGTGGATAGACCATGGATCATGATGATGATGTTGCAGTCAACTGTTGAGTATCCAGCAGTGGATCGACCATGGATGATGATGATGTTGCAGTCAACTGTCGAGTATCCAGCAGTGGATAGACCGTGGATCATGATGATGATGTTGCAGTCAACTGTCGAGTATCCAGCAGTGGATCGACCGTGGATCATGATGATGATGTTGCAGTCAACTGTCGAGTATCCAGCAGTGGATAGACCGTGGATCATGATGATGATGTTGCAGTCAACTGTTGAGTATTCAGCAGTGGATAGACCATGGATCATGATGATGATGTTGCAGTCAACTATCGAGTATCCAGCAGTGGATCGACCATGGATCATGATGATGTTGCAGTCAACTATCGAGTATCCAGCAGTGGATAGACCGTGGATCATGATGATGATGTTGCAGTCAACTGTTGGGTATCCAGCAGTGGATCGACCGTGGATCATGATGATACAGCCAGCGAAACGTCGTACTCAATTGGGCGCTTTACCACACGGGTGTGCTCTGGTACAGGGTGGTTCCCGACCTCTTGTGACCTCTCCAATTAATTGACCCCTAACATTTTTTTTATTTGCATATTCATTTCTGTTTTAATAAACATAACTTAAAAAAAACATTTAGGGAATTAAATGTGGGTCGCAAGACATCTGGACCGACATGTAGTAACACATTGGCACGTTTTGTTCACGTGACAAGCCTTACCCATTGGTCTATGTCGGGTGGTGGTGGGTAAACGACACATTGATATTTACGCGACCTCCCCCACAATAAAACTTTATCGTGACTAATATTGGTCGCGAAAGCCTAAGTGTTAAAATGGTCTATACACATTCAACTTTCGATCACAGTGGACTGACTTATATTATCCATTATAATACGTTCTAAATAACTATACTGTATATTATTATTTTACATTAGGGGCAGTCCATAAATGACGTCACGCAATTTTGGACGATTTTTGACCCCCCTCCCCCCCGTCGTCACACGGCGTCACAAAAAGTCAGACCCCCCTCAAATATGACGTCACTAAGCTCTGCCCCCCCCCCCCCCACCAAAATAAAACATGCTTCAAATCGCTTTAAACTATTGTCATTGCAGTGCGTATTTAATGTGGCGCTGCACTCTGATGTTGTAGGAGAAAACATTTATATAAAAAAGTCTATTTAATTAAGTAGAACGTGTTGTGCATTTTGATGTGATGTCACATTTATCAAACCCCCCCCCCCATCGTCACAAATGTCTGACCCCCCCCTCCCCAGGTGTGTGACGTCATTTATGGACGGCCCCTTAACCATTATAAATGATCAACAATCATTGATTCTATTGATTCTATTGTTACATTATTCATTATAATACGTTCTTAGTCATATTTTATTTGACATTAACCATCGCATTATCTCGTATTGATACATGAACTATTATCTTCATACGCCATCATCAAAATGCATGAGCCAATATCGCTGCATGAGCCAATATCGCTCGATGCGATTCTGCATTCCACCATCACCGCACTCATCTGCAGCAGCGATAGACTCACAGCGTCGGCATTTGCGCACCACGCGCTAAATGATCCACGTTGCCTTTCTCTGCCCATCCCACACCAATCACCTCATCTCTTAATCTCCAATTATCGAATTAACGCCACCACGGTGGGTGGGGTGGCTGTGATATGGGCGTGGAGAGTGGATCGTATAAAACGGTGTTGTTCACTAATTTACCGGGTGTGCACTTTTGCCGAAGAAACGTTAGTGGTGAGGATCGCCACGCGCTTGACACCATGTGGGTTTGACAGCAGCACGACGAACGAAGCTGTTTTCACATCTTGTGCATTGGGGTCGCACGAAAGGTCACCAGGGACTTCGGGTGGCCCGCGGGTTTTGCAATGAAGAACACCGGTATAAAAGGAAGAGGAAGAAATGTTAATTCGCACGTTTTCTCCGCACTTGACTCATCAATGCCTCCCTTCTGCACACTGTAGGCGGATCTGTCGTCACCCCACCGCATCCCCAGGCTGATTTAGACCCTCAACATTGACGCCGTCCATCGAAATCCTCCTCGTCCTCTTTTTTTAGGTTCTTCCTCCGAGAACCTGGCCACGAGTCCGCACCATGCCACGTGTAGGAGGCGCGTGTCCCTCTCCCTCCGTCTCGTCGTCTTAATCCCGCTACCGCAGTGGCTCTCAATTGGGGGTACGCGGACCCCTGCGGATAACGTGGCATGTGTCCCAGGGAGTAACGTTTAGTGATTTATAAATGCACACCTGTCCACCCATAATATTTACCCCTAATCTTGTACAAGGAAGTTGCGTTTTCAGGTCCATACGGCTTACAGCCGTTTAAATACAGGCAAAAAAATGTTTCGTCTTATTTGTTTGTGTTTCTCCCTTGTGATGGGACTTTGTAGGATGAACGTTGGGATTTATAAGGGCACGAGGTGACCAATAAGGTCTGAATTGGTCTAAGGTAGGCACTGATAAGGGGTTGACAGGTGTGCAAACTGTATTGTTAAAGAACAACTCAAGGGGAGGACTAAATAGACGGAAGTTATTCTTTCACATCGTATTTATTAAGTCAGAATGTGTTTGTCATCCGCTGTATACCTACCTGCTGTTTGTCTAAAAGTCGCTCTGCGTGTGATGCGGAACTCTTTTGGTCAAAACAAACCAACAATAAGTAATATAAAATACTTTTTTTTAAACCACGCTTTAATGAAATGTACCGTACTAGTAATGGAAGAACTCCACGACTCCAGGAAGTGGCCCCGAAGCTTGCCATAACGTCATAGGCCGTGGTCATTACAGCCAACGTCAGTTGACCGTGGACAATTAGAGCCAAGCCGAAACATAACATGTAAAAAAAATTATGTTTAAAAATACATAAATTTTTAATGATAGAATATAGTATTGTCATCAGTATGACATACGTATACCAAGTTTGCAGTCGATACCACATTGGGAAGTGGGTTAAAATTGAGTTGCAAGATTTGAGGATACAACAACGACAACAACAACAGAGTGAGTTAAAACAAAGCGTGTAATAAAAACAAAGAACTCTTCTTCTTTGAAAAGCTTGCCGATCCCCTGGTCGTCATTC